GCACAGATCATCATGCTTCCGCCCGTTTTCAAGCTGCTAAAGTCCGATAGTCCACACTCATAATGGGTTCCCATCTAACGCCGACTCCGCCAAATTCTAGTGGCTTGGCGGGAGCTCGAAGACGAGCTTAAATGGCGGGAAGCTGCTGAAACGCCCAATCTCGTGGACATAGTAGCGCAAAGGGACGAAGCCAAACAAATGTACTCATCTAAAATGGATACACTAAGCGTGTGAACCGCCCTTTCCACCATGCTAGCATCATCGCAACTCTGAACCAAGACTCCTTGCACTTTTCGAGAACAGAGCATAACACATCAAAATGGCCCAACGGCAAACCGGCACAGCGATAATAAAGCCTGTGTCCAAAATGCAAGCGACGGAACAGTGAAGCTGCAAAACTACGGAAGGAAGGGCACTGAAATCTGCAGCACATTAAATGCGGGGTATTGCAGCGCTAAATCGATACTCGGAACAACGAAGACACAACGCTTACTAAAACCTAACTCAGAATTGAAGCAGCGCTGTATCAGCGCTGTAAAACTATCATTATACAAAGAGAGCGCTGCATCACCAAGGTAAGCGCTATTTCCGGCGCTGTCTAATAGAGCTGAAGTACCTCTTTGTGCAGGCGTGAACACCAGTTTAATCCGTCTCGCGACAGGGCTCCCAGTATCTTGCTGGTCTCGCGTTCGACTAACTTACTTCAAAGCAACGATCGGGAATGATTTATTGATGGATTAAATTAACGAATATTGAACCGATAACATTAGTATGTAGCGTTATCATCTGAGCCACTTAACGTTCGACCATTGGCATTATATAATGCGGTCACGACATTATGGATCTCTAGAAAGACGCACACAGTTTGTGGCTGCCTGCCAAAATATCTCCTAATCCAACTAGCAATTTCCGAAATAGGTGGAAAGAGTTTGCTCAGGAATATAATTCGCCTCACAGAATATGCAACCGGTATTACACTTCCTTTAGACAAGACATATCTGGACAATTCGGTGATGTATTATTTTTATGATTTGAATCCAACTGTAATTTCTATTAATAGAGTAGCATCAAGCTGGCAAACTCTTTGTCGTAGCAGCGACCATTTCTTCTTGTGTTTCGTTTACCTTCCCTGGGAGTACAAAAAAATGTATCATGCAACTTCTCCTCTCACATAACATACGCTCCCTTAAACTTAGAGACATACACACAGATGCAGGCACAGATGTACGCGCAACCACAAACACGAGTCTGCACATATATAACATTAATGCCAATAAACCAATAATTCTTTAACTCCACGTTTGCGTGAGTGAAAACTTGGATTATACCGAATGGTGTTAAAGTGCATGAGATCTTTAAAGTAGCCTCGAACGTTTAGCAAAGCTTTAACTACTGCAATTCAACCACAGCGATTCAGAACGTAATAGGCTGTATTAATAACGTTGGGGGTTTCATACTGTAAACAACGACAGCGACAACTTCAGCAACTTCAGCAATACCGCGAAAAGTGGGTCAAACGAGTATATTATCCCATGGTAACGGATACATGGCAAATCACTCTCAATCGTGAAGTTTTGTGTCCACAAAACATTCCCTAATCGCCAACGTTATGCAAAGTTCGCAAAATATTTAGCCCATGACAATAAAGTCGCTTGCAATATGTATTTGCGTAGTCATTTACTTACCTATCGTAGTGTATCCTGTTGAAGATTTTCGAATCATTATAGTGGCCTTTTGGAAAGAAACTAGCCTTGCGCTTGGAGGGGCTATATGCCAACGGGAGTTATAATTTCTGCTAACTTTTTTATATGTCCCTTAGTTTAAAACCATCTTAGTGAAGGCTAGTCTGGGATCTCTCTATTGGATGTGCAGATGGACCACTTCTTATGGATTATATACACAGAAACTTCTGACAAACAGACGTCTGCTAATTCATCCCAAAACTTGAGCTTGACGCTGACCTACGTTAATACCCTTAACGTAGATAATTATCACACATCAAAGTTCAATCTTAAAATAACGCCTTATGATCGTACGCGATAGTGCACAGTGTTAGGGGCCCACTGACGAAGTTTACTGCGTTGTAAGGAACTCTGGATATTGAAAAATAAAACACAATAAGCATTTTAAGAAAAAATTAAAGCGGGTAGCAAAGAGGGTTTATAGTCTATAAATAAATTATTGACGGGGAGAATTATAGATGAGCGATCGAACATGAGCTTCTATACATCGTTCCAGTTTAAGTCCAGACCAGGTAATGGGAGCATTCAAGCAGCGTCAAAAGTGCAAGTCTCTGGGCATTTTCTACTTATGATTAATTTAGCGATGCTAAAGCACGCACAGAAACATAGTAAAACCCATAATGGTACGCCTTTGACGCTGTCCGGTCGGTCCGATTAGCTCCCAGCGTCCGCTTTAACTGGAGTTGAGGTGAAACGAGGCAGAAAACTTGTTTGGAGCGCCCCTGAAAACAGCTTTTAGTCCTGCGTGCTCGAATGAAAGCACTAACGGTCGGTTTATTGATTCTTGCTTCGTTTCAATTAGGCGTAGGAATTAGGCGGGCGTTACTGCCGCACCCTTTCCCGCTGCCCTCCCCAAAGTTTCGATGTGTGACCTTAATAGTTTCACTTCGTCGAAGTTTCCCAAGCCACCGTGTTTTCTACAGCAGGGTGAAAATAAACCGTGAATAAATAAACGCAGAATTCTTTTGGGAAAAAAAGAGCTTTTATTTAGTTCGAAAGGCAATTGTAGAAAATATAAAGTGCGCCTAATAATCTTCCCTGTAAACGAAAAAGAAAATGACGCTGTTCGATCGTTCGAGTGAGCTTCAATAAAAATTCAGTTCTGCAGAGAATGCTTAGTGCGTTCTTTATGCAGAGCTCCGGCAGTTTTTTTGTTTTTTTTAGGTCCCCAAATCAAACGCAACATCGAAATGCACAGGCGTTCTTCTTCTTGGCACACTATTGGTCGTCTACAAATTCAACGTTTTCATTGGGAAAACGATAAGCGATGGTCATGCCAAACTCTACATCAAACTTTTATCGCATTTTCGAGCTGGGTAACGTCACATGCTGCATACTCTGCCAGTCGAGGAGTCACTGATTTGCCTCAAAATTGGATCCACACATTTATAGGCACATCTGAACTGGTAGCCCAAAATCGCAAGCCTTAATAATCTTGTTCTTTAATTTTCTAGTTTGGTGTTAGAGGCCCTACTAGAGACACTGAACACGTGATGTGTCAAATGTTGTGACAATGGGCAATGCAGCTTGTTCCATACAGTTTAAGAGAAGATTGTTGATGTGAAATTGATGCTGCTGGCGAAGCTCACGGCAGCGAAGAAAAACACGTAGGAGCAAAACACTTCCTTTTTTTAAGTTTTTTTTTTTTTTTAGGCAAACCAATTGCTGGAGCCGCAGGCACAAAGTGTGTAGGTCGGTCAACCCGTAAACGCTAAACAATTCTGAAAAATATATACTGCATTCGCTGCCAGGGATAGAAAACCGGTCGCCGGCGTGGAAGCCGAGCTCGCTGCTGACGCACCCAGTACGCAGGAACGGGAGAAGCAAAGCGAGGTGCCTAGGGCAGTTTTTTTTGTTTTTTTTTTTTCTTTTTTTTTTTTGACACAGGTTAGGTCAAACCATTATCTCTTTGTGACGCTACCCGCGACTTCATTCAGCACCACACGGGTACAAAACCTTTGCGCTGAATTATTTCGGTCACGAAGAGAGGGAAGACCGCGCTTTCCTGCCCTTCCACCACCTTTCCTCGTTCCGCGCGCTCTGCTCCACTTTCTTGACCTTTCCACCCCTCTCTGTTTCGCACGCTTTCCCACACCACCTGCTCCTGCTTCTTTCTCTTTTCTGCGTGCAGAATCCGTTGCTCAGTCTGCAGAGCGCTCGGCTTCCCGACCAGGGTTCGTCCCTGGCACTGGTTGCCGTTTTTTTTTTTTTGTTTCAGTAATCTTTATTGGTTGGGGTTTGACCGATTTACCCATTTCCTGCTTACGCAGCAACTCCTGAGGTTGGTTGGCCCTACAAAGCAACAGCTTTAAAAAACCTAGTGACTTGCGCTTTGAACGCTGCTTGATCGGAGACCCTTTACCTCGTAGCCATGGCTGCCCCTACGCTTACGCTCATACAAACGGTAGGCCGTTTGTTTTTTTTGGTAGCGGTTATTATGTTGAATTTACACGTATACACCAACTCATGTTTGCAAACAAACCGGAGCGCCCCTAGCGGACGCCACCGGCGTCGCGCAAGCGCGATGGAGTGTGGGCAAGAAGCTCGCCGACGCCCATAAACTAAGTATTGAAATGCGATGTTGTCGGCGTCGGTGTGGTCCTCTTGCCCTTTTTCGCGTTCGAATTGTTGATTTTACGTCTTCCTGGAAATGCCTGACTACTTCAGAGGCCTCAGCGAAATTACTGAGGCTCGTTACACCGCAAAACTTCGCGTGAATCATGTAACATGCGGCGATTCCTTCTGCGTGGACGCCGCAGAATGGACGCTAAAGCCCGATTCGCATGATGAGATTTTGCTCGCAAATTTCAGTCGCGACGTCACTCTGGCTGCAGAAGCGTGACCTGTAGCTGAGATGGTCGACGTCGATACTGAAAATCGCAAGCAAGCTGGCAAGCAGGAGTCTGATATCTGTAGACACTAACCGCTTTTAAGAGTCGAAAGGCTTGGCTTATTATTCCAGCGCTTCTAGCTTCGTAATTGAGTTTTGGAGTTTATTTCTTTATTTTTTATTGGCAAATGCCGAAACCTTGTCGGCTGCTCACCGATGCTAAGGTGCTCGAAAATGGCCCGTCTTTCGTTTCTTAAGCTGTAAGTCACAATATAAAAGCACACTCACTAGCGTGCAGCCCACCTTTAATTAAATGTTACATCATGGCCAGACTATACTGAGGTCGAGCGTCGATGATAGAACTACACTGTGCCTCCAAAAGTGAAATAAAAAAAAAAGATATCTAGAACTTTTTATGAGCCTGTATATTGCACATAGTGAAGAGTTTACTGAAAACGGGTCAGTACATATTCATCGCCGAGGGACTTAGTGTGAAATTCCTGGCGTGCTTCGCGGTCGCGGCGTCTTCGCGCCAGGATCCTGGAGAGGCTGGACCAGGCACCGTCGACAAGAACGTCGAGCACGTGGAAGATGTGAAGCGAAGAATAACCCAAGTAGACGCCCATCAGGCCGCCGATGCTCCGGAACAGACTGGCTACCTGCGTCGGAAGCAGGTGCGCGATGCGTACAGTTTTCAGATCAAAAGTGCCCCGAATAGAATTCTGAGAGCACCTAAATATGACGATAACTCTCTCGCTGGAGGCTCTAAGCATCCTAGAAATACATAAATCATGACGATACGTGGCAGATTTCCCTATTAAAAAAGTCATCAAAGATCGCAACCCACCGATTTCATCTCGGACGATGGGTGTAGCTAGAGCCACCAAATGAGCTGCGCTTAGAGTATTGGCACTCTGTTCCCCGACATTGTTGTGAGCGCCGCCATTTTGGTGCTTGTGCAAAGCAGACCCAACTGCCGATCGTCCTGATTGAAAAGTGCGACTTCCTTAGCATGAGATTCCGTGTTCGGAAGCTCATGTGGTATTGCTTTGCTTTGCACGCGAACTGTTTAAACATTCGTGGAGGACGTAAAAGCGTTTTCTCGGATCTCAGAAAAACTTTTAGATAGCTGGCAACCATGATTTTATGATACAATATTTTGGTGAGTGTCGTTATCCTGAAGCGTAGCTTATTTTGTGGCACAAGGTGTAGCAAAAATCCCTCGATAAAAGTTACGCTTTCAAGTACCGCCAACCATTGATGCGGAAACACGCAAGACACGTGTCACGAGCGGGAGCTCTTCCGCCATTCGCTTCTAAGGGCCGCTCATTTCAGTGCTGAGCCGCCATGTGCTTCCAAGGGCCGTTCGAGACACGGGCCTCGTGCACTGGCGTATTTGACGCTAATTGCAAGAACAACGCAAACGCATCGAGGGGTTTTAGGTGTAGCATGTTCCGAACCCATGACCACTCTCACTCAATAGCAAGCGAAGGATTCTTCCGCCTCCTAGCGGTGAAACCGCGGAGTGATATCTCGAATGTGCCCGGCTCGTTACCCCTACAGCCCAGCTGCGATTCAACCCAGGGAGCGTGCGCTCGGGCGCTCAAGAGCTGAAGACCGGACTGCACTCCCGCAAAAGGAAAAAAAAAAAAAAAGAGACAGCACAGTTTGTTGTATTTTAGACAATATTTATTTTATTTTATTTTATTTATTAATTTCATACAGCGCCCCGAACGGCATTACAGTAGGGGGAGTCACAATACAAAAACAAAAAAATGGATTTTTAACACCACCATAGGTCATCAAGACACATAAGTACGCAAAGTAATTTACAAAATCGCACACGCATATAAACATACATAGAATTAAAAGGAACAACCTTAGTCGGCATGGAAAGAAACACAAATGCGTTGATAATATATTCACGCTCAAATATATTGTTCAGAGACAATGCTCGAGTTGTGAAAAAAAATCGAATCTGGAGTTTGCAAGGAAACAATCTCGGCTTGGCAAGCTGTTCCATTCTTTTATCGTTCGTAGGAAGAAAGAGTTACGAAACAAATCAGACTTTGACGTGTACTCACGAACTTTTTGGTCATAATCTACTCTGCGCGATACATAAAATGGCTCAAGCAGGTAGTGTGATATATGAATTTTAGACAAACCAGAGGAAATACTGGGAAAAAAGTTTAGGCGCAAATACTTACGCATAACAGCAAGCGATTTCCATTGCAAATCCTTTTTTATTGCGGAGACACTGCTACGAAAGTTGCAATTATTTGTCACAAATCTAGCGGCAGGGTTTTAAATTCTTTAAATTTTATCAATGAGATACTGTTCAGATGGATCGCATACAACACAAGCATACTGGAGAATGGGCTTCACACAAGAAAAAAAGAGACTGTTTGAGGGATGGTGGAGCGCGCGAGAAGTTCCTCCTCGGAAAACCCAGCATTCTACTAGCTTTCCCTGTTATGTAGTTCACATGTGAAAGCCATCTCAAATCATTAGAAAAAATTACCCACAGATATTTAGCTTCTTTTTTAACGAATAAAGTTGCTCCGTGTAAAGTGTACGTTGACTGGAGAACGTTGCGTTTTCTTGTGAGCTTTACATGACAACACTTTGGGATGCTCAAAGTCATTTTCTATCTTAAACACCACAAACAAATTCTGTCTAAATCGCTTTGAAGAGCTGATACATCAGAGTTTGAATTAATTTCACGGTAGAAACGGCAGTCGTCAGCGTACAGTCTTATCTGCGAGGTGACTCCCTGGGTTATGTGACTTACAAAAATTAAAAACAGGAGTGGCCCAAGCACGGACCCCTGTGGTACTCCGGAAGTTACACCAACTGGTGGAGACTTTACCCCATTTACAACTACACAGTGTTTATGATCGCTGAAATAGTTAGAAATTCAATAGTGCGCATTCTTATCAATATTAAGACTCCTAAGTTTTTCTAAAATAAAGCAGTGCGGAACCGTATCGAAGGCTTTTCGGAAGTCCAAAAAAATGCAATCGACTTGCTTTCGACTATCCACCGATTGAGCTAAGTCGTGGGTAAATTCAGTCAATTGGGTGTCGCAAGAGAACCCGGCTCGAAAACCGTGTTGCGTGGGAGTAAAAAAAAAATTAGTATTCAAGTGCCAGATGAGATTACTATAAAAAATGTGCTCCATTATCTTGCCTGAAACGCTCGTTAGCGATATTGGTCTGTAGTTCTGAACACTGCTTCTGGCTCCAGATTTATGTACTGGTACAACATTTGCATGTTTCTAGTCGTGAGGCAATGAACCACACTGCAATGAACGCGTAAAAATAATTAAAAGATAACAACTAATTATGTCAGCACATGATTTGAGAACATGGTTAGGGATACCGCCGGGTCCGATCGCCTTTTCAATTTTAATGTTATTCAGTAAATTAAGAACTGCGTTGTGACCTATCACAATCTCTGGCATTTGTACAAAACTACCATCATTTGCATGCAAAGGCTTCGCATTTAAATCCAAGGAAAAATAGAACGGAAGTAACGATTAAAGCAGGAAGCTTTAGCGCGTTCGTCGGTAGTTAACGAACCGTCTACCATAAGGGGCGGAGTTCCCAACGACTCTTAACGACTAGATTTAACAAAGTTCCACATTTGCTTTGGATCTGCTTCGACCTTGCCTTCGAGAGAGTTAAGATAGCCACTCTTCGCTATCACGGCCTTTCTCTTGAATTCAGCTTGAATATCTTTCAGTTTTGCATACGTATTTTTATTTCTACTGGCTTTGTATTATGCTATATTCTCCTTTTTGTTTGGTAAGCAGACTGCGAAGTTCTTTTACATTCATGGCTTATCTTTTCTACGCCTAGAACTGATAGTGCGGGAAGGAATGAATAATAGAGCGCTCCACTGGAAATGGAGAGGTTCCTCGTTCGATACCAGGACGAGGCGGATTTTGTTTTCGGTCACGCACCAGTCACCTACCTGTGTTTGGAGGTTTGTGTTTGTCCTTTGATCCCTTCGCTCACCTTCTCCGGGGATCATTATTGTCATTCTTGTCTAGCTGCTTGCACCTTTGGATTAATTGAATTATAACCAACAGGGAACCTAAAATAGTGATCAGGTGGCTTCTCAAAATGATATTTCTTGCCTAATAAGTGCGTTCCAAAAGAGCGACCTCGCTGCCGGCGTTGTGCGCTATGAGTTTTGCTAGGGCGGTTTCTTTTAAGTCTCGCCGGTCGCCATGCTAATGAACTTTGGTTGTGTCTTTTTATGCGCGGACGGGGTGTGTCTTAGATTGTTCAATTTTTGTTTTTCTGTGTCGAGACCGACTGCGCAATTTAGGGTGGTCGGCAACATAAAAGAGCATCGGCTGGTGCTTGAGTTTTATACGTAACAAACGATTTTAATGCGTAACGGTTCGGAAAGAAGTAAAACTGACTAAGCGTGGGTCTATGCATTCCAAATTTATCCCCCTTGTATTCTACTGAGTACGTACGGGGCGCTACATGTCACACTAATCTTTTGACATTAAAATTAAAAGGCACCCTCTTAGAAACGTGGCACGTTGCCATTACACTCAACCGTCGCGTATTCTCCACATCCCTGCATTCGGGAGATTAACTCTCTACTGCGTTTATCTATATAAAAGAGTTTTAGGACACATAAGCACTTCTTATAAGTTGTGAATGCGAAAACATGCAACCTGTGACGTATTGCTTCTGCCTCGCATTTTCGAAGGGCCTCGCCCTCTTGCCGCCTGAGATGCTTTGAATCGCTATCCGCTTGCGCCTAACGCTTTAAAAAGGCTTTGTTTTGTCTCCTAACGCGTTGCGCCGCTGCTCGTTCCGCCCGCCGTGTATTCGGACTCTTGACAACGATGGTGTGATGCTGTCTGCCTCCTCGCTCGTTGTGCTGCGATATTCCCCTCCCTTAGCACGTCCCGTGTACTTGCGTGGACGGGCAGGCTTCGCTACTGCCGAGGTTGCGGCCGCCGACGTTGAGACGCCGCCATGTTCGTCGGCTTCGAGAGCAGTAGAAGCGGCCGAGCGCGCTCCGCCGTGTTCCTTTGACCGGCGCGCTGCCGGCCCAGGGCCCGCAGCGCCATCGGGTGGCGTTCCTTGAAACTATGACGCGCTCTAGCCAATGGCAGCCTATCCATCAAATCGTTCTCACAGACTACATACAGGCTTCGCTCCATGGGGACAGGGGAATTTAGGTTTCCTTTTGGCGCGCGGCTTCAAAAGCTGATTACGCCGGTTCTGAAATATTCCTCTATCGGCAAATATTTAAAATCGGGGCAGTCATCTAACAAGGGCGGACGCGTCTGATGACCATAATATTCCCCAAACTTCTAAAAACCATTTTTCAAACCAAGCGACTTTGGAAATTCTGCGGTACTAAAACCTGAAATAATTTACCGTCTTCAGCGACGAATTCATATAACTTCAAAAGTTAATTAAAGCACGATGCGTTTATAAGGAATATGTCTGCCCTCATCTTGACCCTCATTTGCTTATCAGATAAATATTTTTTTCAGAGTCACAATATGATTGCATTCATTCATTTCATTTCGGCCGTTTTTACATTATCTATCCATTTGCTTAACCTGACATTATGAAGTTCCTTATGTATTTTGTGTCTTCAATTGCAGTGCCATTCATCGTAATATTTTATTAAAATGGACCGAACTATAGCCAAATTGGCTATGGGTATAGATGGTTCAGTAATCTGTAATGTACATATACTTTTTATATTAAAATAAAATCGACAGTTTGAATTGTTTCGTCGACGGAGTCGCTCGCCATGCATGTGCGTTTCAACAACACAAAATTCGATGCTAATAACTAAACGTCTGACGTGACAATGCGTTTCGTGAAACCACCCTATATTACAATGTCCAGCACAGATAGTGCAGCGAAGTAAAGAGGAATAATAGCAACATTTAAACACGCTGCAGGAACTATTGGGCAATTGTATATAATGCCTCAAATTGCGAAAGACACTTTTAGAATTTAGATTGTTTTCATTTTGCATTTTATTGTCGAAGCGTAGCTACAGCGGGATTCGGAATTTAATGCTTACCGTGGACTTGGGCTCCTTGCGCCTATAGAGAACCTTGGTGGTCTTCATGTAGATCTGAATCCTGGCGTGAATTCTGCGCAAAAGAGAGCGAAAGGTTAAAGTAGGAACTTGATCTTGCGACGAAAAACAGATACCAAAAGGGAGAATGAGAATTTACGTGATATTACGAGCCAAAGCTTAGACTACGGTGGAACGAAATATGCAAGGCGGAAACACATTGAACTTGAAATAGCTTGTTTAGGTGAGCTAGTTGGATAAGCTAGGTTGTATCTAAGCGTTAATAAGAATGGCTTGCTTGCCTAGTGAAAAATTTTAAAACGCATGCGAACTAATTGCAGGTCATCTCACGAACGTACTTCGAAAACGAAAATATATTCAAACTGACCCCATCTCGCATTTTCTAGGTTTTTATTCGCCTGTTTTTTTTTTACGACGTGTGCGCTTAGTGTTTTACTCCGTAGGATTTGATAATTCCATATTGCTTTTGTCAATCCCGCAAGCTTAATTATAGTATATGGCCATCAAGGCGCCCTTACACTTGAGGATTTGCGGGTGATCCGTGCGGACGGAAAGTGGATATTAAAACCGCGTGTGGGGAAATCGACTCGTCCCTGGTGGATATTTTGGATAAGTCCGGGACGCATATTCAAAGTTTCCCGCATGCGGCGAGTTGATTTCGTCGCATGGCTCCAAAGTCCCCTTTCCGCCTTTACGGATCCGCTCGCGAATCCGCAAGTCTAAACGTGCTATTGGGGTTAAACGGTGGCCTACTTCGTCTTCGTTTCATCCTGAATCCGGCTGCAGGCAACGCTACAGTCGAATGAAGCCAATCAAGCAACAGAAAAAGTGCATTGTCACGATACTTGTGTTTTTGCGACGTTTTCTATTACTCAATAAACTATAAACCAATCCCGTGTGTGATTGATTTAACCGTCGACAGCAGACGACAAAAGGCGAGAGGGCCTGGCGATTTACTTTTGGAGCCGCCTGATTGGCTCCATCAAATCGCAGCGTTGGCTCCAGTTGAACTTAAAGTGAAACGAACTATTAGGACAAATAATGCTGGCAGTGAAAACACGCCTGACGATGTGTGATGGGCCAAAATATTGGGGTCAAGAAACAGTTAGAGAACCCATTCCCACGGATGGCACATTGGTACCTGGTTCGATGTGGCACGAGTATGAAGACTGCGTTCTCGTCGAGTTTATTTTACATGCTTTTATTTCTTGCTTTAGATTCGAAGCAAACATTTGGTGGCGAAGTGCCATCCTAGGCAAATACGCTTTGCTGAGAGTCAAATTGGCTTCTCGGACTTCATCAAGGAACATTGAACTTTCTACTTTCATTTAGTCGAAAGAGAAAACCCCACGGCACTAAATTCCTACGAAGTGTATTGACACCGTCATAACCATACTCGAGAATCACGTACATTTTGACTGCGTAGATTAAGGATGGACTTACTTTTTCCGATCCGGCGATTCTTCCTGTAGAGTGTATTCTGGTTTCACCTGAAGCATATCAAACATAATATTAAGCTCTAGATTTCAGAACCGTGCGACCCAAATGTATCCTCAAGGCCAATAATGGGCGAGGCAGACGAAAGGATCAGGGATTTCGTAGTTCAAGGCATCTCGTACTTCAAGGGACATTCATTGTTGACCGGAATTCCCAGAGTGGAAATGAAAAACTAAGACAAGCGCAAAACTACAACAGCTTTTCAAACTATTCCCCGTGGGCGTCTGGCAACTACTGCCATTGTTTTTGCTAGGCTCCTGATTCGTTTGGCGTAGAGAAAAATGGGCTGCACGCGACTGCAGTCGAGTGATAGTGTCCACGCAGTTCGCTAGTCACCGATTGTCGTTCTTCGCAAAACTGTTCCACCATTCATATACTCCTGTCCGTAACATTGCGTCTTCCTCGTACTCTGCTTGCAATCTTCTCAAAATTTAAACTGGTTTAGTTTTTTTCATTAGAAATTGGATCATGCATCGTTACTCCACTGCTTGCTAGTGAAACTGCTACGCACAAGGTATCAGGAGAGAATTATCTTAAAGTCTTCCACAACTTTCAGCATGATACACATCTTCAGCGATATCTTATGGGCAAATATTGCGCTCGATCTTTAACGATCCTTGCACAGTTCCTTAGAAGGTATATTGTGTTCAGCTGCTGCACTCGCAATAATACTACGCCGTCAAAAGGCACTTTGTGTGACAACAATCTTTGATCACTAGGCAGCATAACGACCCTACTAGTCCACCTGTAGGGTGCGTTGTCCCTAAGCACAACTTCATTTTTTTTAATTGATTCATCTTCAATCTTCACTAGAACCATGCTCTAAATTATACACCGGTGATTGTTGTCACAAAACAAAACGGCTTTCTAGCAAAAGCATCTATCAGCCCTCAGCGTTCTTTTGTTTCTTTTTAACGGCGGGTTTTACTGTTGGAGAGGGGATACAACCATCGCATTTGTTGCGGATAAGTCGAGAACAAAACCCATGGGGACAACAATAAAAAGAAAAATATGCTCGTGGTTACGACGCAGCTCTCGGGTGACGTAGCCGAACGCTTGGTGAGCATTCGGTTTGGGAATGATGTTCGATCAGTGAATTACCAATTTAACACGTGTACTTAGCTAACGCTAAAGAGGCGCTCGAATTCAATTTGTGCCCTGCGCTCGATGAACCCCACAAACATTGTGTTGACTAAACACCGAGTTCTGAAAGGAAAAAAGCGCCCCTGATTCGACCTCCTCGCCAATAACCACAAAAACTCTGACATACTTCAGGGTGAATATTGTGCCATAATGCACTCAACATACCAAGCTTAGCTCTAACAATGGCGACCAATATCACGCCCGTACGGTCATGCACTCCCATGGCAAAACGTACGTGTCGTGCGCCACGTTTGCCATTGAGACCGCATGGGCATAACCATAATTGTGTCTCAGTGCAGCACCTCTCATTGCTTGAATTTATTATAAAGAGATTTCACTGATTGGTGCTTTGATGTTCTATGGGGATCGATGTGCCGTCAGTTAGAGACGCCTGAGAGTACCACTGGACCCGACCGCTGGTCATGCACTCGGTTTTGGCCTGTTGGTTGTTCCTATATTCGGTGGCTTTTGAAAGTTCTCGCGTTCGGAATATAGACATATTAGTTAACCCAATTATTTACACTTCCGAGTGAAGCAGTGCATATAAATTGCTAAGCACAACCATTTTACGTTCAATATATCTAGATATTGTATGCTTACCAGGTGACTAGCCCAAGCAAGACTGCTCGGAAAGGTGTCGTAGTAATGAATCCTGGGTAAAATGAAAAAGATAAAAAATAAGAGAAGTGAACGTTTGTTATATGTATATTCTCGGCAAATCCAACACTGAATCATGTCATCCCTTGCCATCGAAAAGCGGTTTTATAATATGACGAGTGATTGCTACTAGAAAAGAAAACTTTCAATTTGTACTTTACTTTTTAAACAAAAAAAAAAAAAGATCAGTCTTTACATGATAACCGTCTAAGCTATTGCACACTCCACGAACATGGGAAACAAAGGGGGCACATTCAGGTTATTGCTTGCATTGACGTCACACCTGCTGCCATCGTGGTGGACTTCCTGCTCAGCCCGCATCTTCTGCAGCATACATTTGGCAAAACTATATTTTTTTCAGAACGAACAAGTAGGATTGTTTACCACCATGGTGCCTTTACGGCATGTGCAAGTCATGCATTGTATGAAGCCCTGTACACGTAATAAACAAAATCCAATACGCCCTGAGAGAAATACCGCATTTTCGAGGACATCATCCCGAATTTTATCAATGATTTTATACTTGAGAAATGATGACGTCATGGTTTTTGCAGGAACTTGCTCGCAAACAAAGCCCGTCATCTGATTGGACATTCGCTTAACTAGACTTGCTAACAACAGCAAGGGGTAGGACATGGAAAACACTTACTCGCACGCAGTAAGACATTTGCAGGTGATAAGTTTCTGGAGGATCTGAGCTTCAACCGCCCTTTCACAGTCACCTGAAAATAAAGCAGAACACTTAAAAAACGAAAGACTATAACAAGGATTCTGCGATAACGTTTCCTCGCTATGCAGCTTCAACATCCAATGCGCCCCTTCATAAACCTCACCTATTTTAGAGCTGTTCAAATGAAAGTAAGAGGAATTGTTATTTGCACAAAGGAATAATTCACCATTGCGATTTCCAGAAAAGCAACAGCTACGCGATTCAACGATCTCTGAGTGCCTGATTGACGCCAAAACATGTTTAATGAAGGTTTAGCACTGTAGGATGTCGCACCGGAAAGAATGGGCACGAGCCCGAAGCTGAGTGTCCGCCTGCGCGATGATTGAACCGGAGTCTTAATCGAATCCTGACATATAGAACCCGTGTCCGATCTGTACCCACATTCCGTCGCAGAGTGGTCTGGTCAAACTTTGACTAGTAGGCTATACACGTCTCCCAAATAATCATGTGTATTATGCCACACCGATGCGGTGGCGCTTCGAGCGTGTTTCCGGCAATATCGGTCTAGAACTGTCAGAAAAAAGACCATGGCGTGGCGAAGGAACTATGTCGTCTCGCTGAAATCGTGTCTTTGCCTTAACATGAAACAGGTTTGTATACACTCCAAAGAATGTCCTTTCTTTTTCGGAGCTTTCAACACGTAAATTATAGAATACCGAATCTGGACGCGGCCCAGCTTCACTGTTTGTTTCGAATAGAAGACTGACATCTTGATCACAGTCACAATTTCGTTATTATATTATTCTCGTTGGAGATTAAACTAGACTTCCTATACTCTGTCTGTCTTAAGTCGCAGTTCACTTATTGTCAAATATAGACCGTGTTATTGTGGCGGCCGCCATGTTGAATTTTGACATAGCTGAGGTAAATAAAAATAGCAAATCCCTTCACTTGCTGAAATGAGGGCGCTATAATTGAAAGGATTCTTGCGAATAGTTCTACTTTTTAGGGGGTGCTAATTTTTTTTTTTATTGTAGAGTTACGCTTAAAGCATTTGCTAAATTGTTGTCGCCCCACCCAACACGCAAAATCTTCAAATGGCAAACGACACACAAAAACGGTCTATAAGTCCTGCCAAACGAGCAACGCGATCATAATCGTCGTCAAGATTAAAAGAGCTACCTTTTAGCATGTCGGGACAGACCGGTGATTCCATGACGCGTGGCTCCAGGACCCGGATATGATTGTAGGAGCGGCAGCCGCACGTCTCAAAGATGTGCACTTGATAGCAGTACTCGTCGCAGGCCTGTACACGAGTCAGGGGCACCTAGCTTGGTTGAAAAACACCGACATTCCGAGAACAACCGAGGAAACAAAGTACGGGCGCACACAAAATGTCACACAGAGCTACAAACGTTCATTGACACCAACCATACATCACAGTCTTCCCTTAAACTTCCGCGTTTTATTTCTCTTTAGTCATTATCTAGCCCACCAAACTCAGCCCTACGCGAAACGTAAGTTTGTCTGCTTCTTGCGCAGGCGTTGCAGTGACGTCCGAACACCGAGCTCTGATTGGCTCTGATTAGAAGGATAGGGGGTAGACCTCTAAGCAAGCTGCCTTGAGTTCTACTCACTATCCTTCAATCAAAGCCAATCAGACCTCGGCGTCTTTCTGACGTCAACACAACCTCGGCAAAAAGAAAGCAGACGAACTTGCATTCCGCATACTCCGCTTAGCATTAAGTCCTAGCCAACGCCCCGATTCAATGGAGCCAATGAAGCTGGCGCTAATATGATTGTCATGGGCGCTGACAGTCTTTGTGCGTTTATTATATCTTGCTAACTTAATCACTCACACTACAATAATAGTAATTATGCGTTTTTTTGTGATAGTTCTAGCCGGTGATAGCAAACCCAGAAATTTGACGAGCGCCATGAGGATGCACTTTTGGCTCTGCTTGACTATTTACAATCGATCGTAGCGTTGGCTGCAGCCAAACTTAAAAGGGATATGCAAAGTTTTTTTTTTTTTTTAAGTAAATACCGTATAGAATTTGTTTTAAAATCATAAGCTATAAAACACGAGTCAGTTTTTCTCCTGCAATGGCAGCCGCAAGAAAAAAAAAAAAAGGATTGAAAAAAACTAGCAGGGTTTGCATCTTCAACTCGGAGCCAAAACAAGTGGCCACGTGATCTGGAGCCGATTATATGCCGCCGATGTTTATCATAACCATGCGCTGGGGTTGGCAAAGCACAGAGCACGCGTTGAGTTCCAGGCACGAGCCACTTCTCGAACGGATGTCGATGCATTGGCCACGTTTACGTGAATGCGATCGTAGCGCATCGAACCGAGCAGGGACCAATCGCACGTCGTCGGTCTTTCTACTTCTTCCTCTTCTACCCATCTACTACCAATCAAAGTACTCAAATCTCTATTCGCTGCGCTACAGTCGCATTCATGTAAATACAGCCATTGAGTGTTACCAACCTTAATCCACTGGTCACGCAGTGCACCCGTACACTGCACGAAACGCATCTAAATATTGTCACGGCGGGAGTCCCAAAACCGGATGACGAAATCCCAAAGTCTGTACTGTTGACAGGGCAAACCATGCGATCCCCCGAAATTGGTAATCAATTTTTGCGAAGGAGAGAGTGAAAAGTAAAACGGTTTGGTCAGTCGCGTTGCGTGCGAGACGTGCGAACACTGATCTCAATGACAATTGCTGGATCGCGCTTGCCGCTCCCGCAAGTGAAGCCACCGGACGCAACCCCGCTGGGATACGATTTCCCGTTTTACTAGCCTTTTGCTGCGGTTTTCCAGCGTGCTGTAGACACGTTTTCTACTCGTTCGTCGTCATTCGCCGAGGAAGTTTTTTGAGACTCTGTGTATTGTTGAGACTTGCCGTTGTGAACACGTGGAAAATTTTACGAAAGTGCAGTGTCGCAGGAAAAAGGCACAACGCGTCGAAAGAAAGGGCTGGCGGCGTGTTCAAAGCTTCCTTGGCACGCCGAAGTGCCGTGTCTCTGTGCCTTCGCGCGCTTGGATACCGACCAAGAACCGACGCTGAACACGTTAGGAGAAAGTAGTTAATTTAGGCGCGTGCTGCTAATAGTGTGTGCTACAGCGAAAAGACATCATGCATTTACGTGTGTACTATACTTTGTTGCTGTGCTGTTTTGACGCCTGCTTTTCTGTCGCTGTGCTGTTTTGACGCAGTGCTGTTTTGATGACTGCTGTTTCGACCGTGCTGGTTTGTCACGTGCTGTTCTGCCGAGGTAATTTTCCTCCCTTGCGTCGCGCTACCGAGAGCGGCGGGACCGCGCGCGTTGTACCGCAAGCGACCGCTCCTGACCGCAAGGACGCTGCAACGCGCTCAAACGCGTTCAAACGCGAATGTGCGTATCAGCCTTCAGCAACCACAAAGTACTTGCAGCTCGTGGATGTCTGCAACACGCCAGGGCGGCATCCGACAACGTGACATGCCGGAATATATGGGCTAGTTAGTACGATAAACACAACAGGTGAATGTGCGTCCCAGGTGCAGTAGCAATATTCCACCACGTGCGTCATAAAATGTTACCCAACATGGTTCAGAAACAAAGCTCGCTCTAAGAACCGCAAGCTTGCTCAGAGCGAAGCTTACAGCACCTAGAGCACCGCCATACTTCTAGCTCATACTTTAGACTTTCATGAGGTCTCCACAAGCATCGCACTGGACTCAATAATTTTTTTACGAGCGCCGATACGACATGTGCTTCAAAAGACTCCGTACGCACTCGTTTGGTATACACGACTCCCGGGACGACATACTTCTTGAGCTCCTCGGGCCAATCGTTCTGGCAGGGGTTCTTGTAAGGGGGCTCGAGGTTTTTGGAGGTCGACTGAAAGCAGCGAAAGAAAGTATTCGGGCATTGGGTTTGTCAATATCCAATGAGGCTCCGAACGTCGGAAAAATACAGGGCCTCCCGTTTTACATCGTAATCTGTACTGGGCTTGTACTGGGCGAGTGTGGTGTTTGCAAAAATGAACGGAGCATGCGCGCGTTTATTGCGGGTGGCTTTGGGCCCGAGTGAGGGCGAGTACAGCAGTGATACCCTCGCACTTTCGGTAATGACACTCGCGGTTCAGGCACATGGAGTTTGGCCAATCACGATTGCGCTGTGGGTCATGTGATCGCCCTCCTCGCCACCCGTTCTTTCTCGCCTTCGTTCGGCCGTTCCCTCGGCGCTCTAAGCGTTTGCGAGCAAGAATGGGCGGCCGGAGCATACGCCGCAGTAAGTGGCGGCTGCTCGACGGTGTTAAACGCGCCCCGTGAGAAAGAACGTCGTCGATGTGCAGGGGCCGACGGTCTCAACCTGGATGTAAGAATAGAGCGAATTCGAGGTCAAGAGCATGCTGTTTGTGAACGTGAAAGGCATCATGTAGAATAGAACGTTACAGAGCAAAAAATGGACTGGCTAGTGCTACCAAACAATATGTGCAGCGCGTCCGCGAGAACGTGTTTGGTTCGTTTGGTAAGGAGTGTGATCGGTTGTGGTTTACGCGAGGCCTGGTGTCTTTGCCGGCGGCTTACTATGAGAAACTTCAGTCGTTGTACCCGAACAGCCACCTGACTGCCTTCAAGCCGTGCGCTAGGGGCCTACGCAGTGTTCGTGCGTAGGCACGAAGCACCGCGCGACGCCAAAATAAAATAACGAAGTGTCACATCACCGCGCGAAGCAGTATCGCCGAAATTTCCACTCAATCACAACGCAATATCATCGAAATTTTGCACCATCTGACGCTGTCCATTCGCATAACGTGGCGTGATCGTCCGCACAATATATATATATATTTTTTTTATGTAAGGTGATTGGAAAATTATTTGCGATCTCGCTGTAGTTTGTTTTAAAACTCTCGAGAAATGAAAGGACACTTTGTTCATCTGTCAACATGCTTTCGCATTTCTTCATTTAAAATGCGGACGCTCAATGTTGACATAAGTCATGGACGTGGACGGGAGACGGGTAACTTCTGTATTCATTCAAACACACTTCTTCGCAACAGTACACTGGTTCTCTACACCTTTTCCACAAGGGCGCAGCCATATTGAATGTGGTCACTTCTAATATGCGGTAAAATATCGTTTTGATCTCTCCACGCCGCTGGAAGGTATTTAAGAAAAATTAGTGATTGTCACGCATTCTTGTTTTGCCTCACCTATATTTTCTCGCATATACCAGGTTAAACTGTTTTATTATTATTTTTTTTTGACCCGCATACCATGAACGGAACCCACGTGACTGAGAACGGCAGGAAACAGAAAACGTCTATACTCACAAGAAAGGCTTCAATAAATGTCGGCGCCAGACACACCCTCAAACCACACAAAAAAAAAAAAAAAACTAATTACTGCATTCCGCTTTTCTGCTATGAAAACCACAACTGGAGTGGACATTGTTTCTCGCATTGCAGTCCCAATCAAACTGATGTAAAGCGTTCAAACTTGCACAGAACTGGAGGGAAAGACAGCGACAAAGTATGAATATACACAGATAAGGCAGTGTGGCCGACACAATTTCTAAGATAACCAAAATGCGCATAATTTGTTTATACTCCTTGTAATATTTCAGACCGAAGCACCCCTGGAGTCATGTATACAGTAACGCAATATGCCTGTGTATGAGTCTACCGGTAGGTATAGAAAAAATAAGGCTTATATGGCTAATTGCCTAAAGTTATAAATAAATACTTGTCTTGCGCACAGTCAATATTTAGAGACGCTTGATCTTAATAGTTCCAACGACACTGGAAAATTGAAGAAAAAAAAGTGATATACACTAAAAACCCTCTTTTTTCGTTAAAAAAAACAAACAGACGAAGAGTTTTTTTGTTTTTTTGGTTTGTGCCATGTACGATAAACCACCAAAGCCCGAGACGTGTTGCGAATGGCGGTCCTGGGGTGAGTTATTACTAGCACGTTCTCTCCTTCGTGGGTGTTTGTCACGTCCAAGAAAATGGAGTCCGATGCACGGTATTGGAAACTCCCTCCGCGCAGTACTTGCCATTTACACCATAAAGCCGTAATCACACTGCTAATGCGTCATACAAAAGGCACTCTCTGGGGCGCGTTTCTTCCTTGTATGACAACATCCCGGCCACACTGGTCATGCAGAACCTGTCTGAAGTGGCTTTCAGGTCACCGATTCTAGTCTGAAAATATAACAAAATATTTCGATAATCTAGACTTTTACAGAAAACTGCAAACAATTTATTTACAATTCGCTAAATTATGAAGCAAAATTCTGACGGCGCAAATGATAATTCGTTTCAATCTTTGAGTGAACTATTTCTACGTGACGAATTTCACAATTAGAGTGCGCATTTAGTCTGAAACCTGCGTTCTTTCCAGACAACACCTGCCATAATTGCCTCACCGCCAGAGGCATAATTGTCTACGTGCAAACCTCATTTTTTGTTTTTGCAATAAAACTCCAACAATGCGCCAAAAATCTGAGAGAGAGAACGACACGAGAGCGCAGGGGGACGTGAGAACGCGCAGCGCGAAGCTCTGGTTCGAATGATCCGTGGGTAAGCCTAAAGCTAGCCGCTTTAGTCTCCACTGCACTCGTCGAATGCTTTCGAACGCAAGATCTAAACGCCGGAAGCCGGCGCGAGGCGTGCAGTGGCATAGCCTACCCTATACTCACAAAGCCTGGCAGTTCGACGACGGAGCCATAGAGTGCCCAGTCGCAGATTTGGAGCGCGAGCATCTCGTAGCCCAGAGCATCAAGGAGCCACTTCTGGGGGGAGCCTGGACGCCAGCGTACAGCTTTTACAGCGGCGAGGACCCGAAACACACTTGTTCCCTCGGGAGAAGTGTGTTTCGGCGCCGGTCACGTGGCTCTCCTCTAATCCGTTGTCTGCCGCTCCATCTTTCCCATTTCGGCGGTCGCTTCTCGTGGCGATCTGCCAGGCTTTGTCAGTATATGGGAGGCTATGGCAGTGGAGAGAAAGGAAGCTAGCTTTGTGTCTACCCACTAATTCCAACCAGAGCTCGGTGTTCCGACGCCCCCGCGCTCCATTCTCCTCATTTTCCCTCAGTCCCTCGGCAAGTACATGTACGAAATGTATCTTGTAAAGTTCATGGCACCCTCACGTGCCTACCTTGACGACGCCGATGTAGGTCGTGGCTCCCGGCGGGACGTAGACGGCGTTGTCGAAGACCTCTTCCTGAACGCCCGCCTGGTTGACCATCACGTAGAAGCCCGCGTCTACGGTCAGCGGAAGGAACTCCTCGGGCTCCATGTTCAGCGACATTCGAAGACCTACAGCGTGGGTCAGACCGCCGTATATTTTTTTGTCGTTTCGTGATTATTTTGTCTTGCTTTCGTACAATATAATTTATTTAAGTGGCATCTACCGTTTTCTTTCGTTAGTAGTGCAATACAGCTGTCGATAATAAATATAAAAAAGCTTTGGCGTGTTTATTTATGGAATCAGCCTTGAGCCTCGCCTCGAGCACGGTACCCGCGGCTGGCAATCGTGATTAATAAATAAATAAACAAATAAATAAATAAATAAATATCCATTTATTGTTTATTTATAAATTAAAAACATACCTTTTTCATGTACAGCTTTATTTGTAAGCAAAACAAGAAGACAATAAATCGCAGAACACTGCCATTATGAAAGGTTTGGTATTTAGTTACTTCTTGTCATAATACAGTTCCTGAAACAAAAAATCCTTTAGTTCGAAAGCGAAGCGTGTTTTTACGCCGGCCAAAGACTTGGCTACAGGAGCAAACCAGCGTTCCACCCACACACTACTTCCATAAATCCTTCTTCGCACGCGTGGCATTCTGGGAACCTGTGGGCCAGGAGCGGAATGCGTACGGATTTTGCTGCTCACTTATTCCAACAATGCATAACGTGGCACTACGCTGCGATGAGGCGCTTCGAGGTTAGGAATAAGTCTATCCCTACGCAAATCCCTGCCCATTAGGCGTAAACGCCGCACCTTGATTGACTCCAGACACGGATCATTGGCCTTCTTTCATTTGATTCAGAAATAAGAAGGGTAATTATAGTCACCGATCAAACCAAAACGCCAGGAAGGTCCTTCTGATGTCCAGCCCGAGCTTCCTACCTTCGATGACGCTTCGGTGTCTCGTGAGCATCGAGCATGCACACTCAGCCAAAGCACGAACGAAGGCAACGACCGCATGCTGAAAGGCCACGTGCATCGGCAAGAGAACTCTTGCCCTTCTCATCCACGGAATGGGTATATCACGCCCCAATGGCAACGCGGTCTCAGTGACAAGGAGGTTGATCAGATTTTGGCTCAGAGTGCTTGACCATCGCGGTGCAAAAACCGCTTCTTTCTTGTCATCTGTTTTTTGTTTTATGATAAACACGAATATTTCAGGGGTATTTATAGGCATAAATGTGCGTACGCATTTCTTTCTCCCTCTCTTTTTTTCACCTTGTAAACAGTGTTACCTTTTGAGAAGGTGAGGTTTAACGCAACTTGTTCTATGATTGGCGTACATTTGTAACATTCTTCACATATTAATAGATGATAAAAATTATGAGCCATTCCACTCTGTGAAGTTGGATGACCACCGGAGCTGTTTAGCAGACGACGTCGACGTGACAGAGAATTTTGAACAAAGGTACAAACTCTCGCCGCCCCGAGGAGCCGGAGGAAACTAGACACACGCGACGGGGCCGCCACCCGGCGGAAAGTAGGCACGCGCGAATAGACCGCCACCCCAAGAGAGCGGAAGGAAACTAGGTACGCAAGCGCTAGGAACGACGACGAATAAATGGCGGTGTGAGTTTTGGTTGACGAGCATGAAAAACCCACGGAACACTACCCATAAACTGCTTCGCTGTAAAACAAAAGCATAAGCTCGCGTTATGGACTTCACAACGTACAATTAGCACACACACCGCTCCTATCACACACACACAACACAGGATACCCACATGTGTGTATCTTGTGTTTTGTGTGTGTGTGTGATAGTTGTGAACTGTGTGCGCGCTAATAGACTCTTTTCAAAAGTCCATCGAGCCACATTGGCGGTCATCATTGTATCGGAAACCGGCGAGGAACCACCTTGTGGCGCTGGGTGTGTTCACATATTTCAGCTAGTACCTTGCTAGGTTCTCGGATCAGACCACCCTCCTACGGAACCTGCTCAAGACGGAGTCGGTATTCGAGTGGACCCTAGACCATGACAACGAGTGGAAGACCCTCAAAACCTCGCTGACCACCAGCACCAGTCCTTGCCTTCTACAAGGAAGCAATGAATACTAAAGTGTCCACGGATGCGTCCAGCTATCACCTTGGCGCAGCTCTCTTCCAACGCCATGACACAGAGTGGAGGCCTGTAGCTTATGGATCCCGAGTGCTGACAGAATGCGAATCGCGATACTCCCAAATTGAAAAGGAAGCACTGGCAAGGAGGTTTGGTTGTGAGCGGTTTCACGATTTCATTTATGGAAGACCCATAACCTTGGAAGACAGCGAAGTGGAGGACTACACATGCTTTGCCCCAACAACCAGACCCTCATTTGGGGACCAGCCTACTGGGATGGACACGGCGTCTACAGCCCCAGGGCCAACAACACGGTCACCGACCCCAATGGCAGTGATTGTGCCTCCAGCTCTAATGGGAGTTACTGTGCTGCCCACGGACTCAAGTACAAGGACACTACGACGCCTGCGTCGTCCACCTCATAGGCTGACGTTCGATGAAGCTTTCCGTCAAGAGCCTTGACCATAGTGTTGTTGTTCTGCCCTAAGAGAAGGGGGGTGTAACGGCAGCGCCAGCAACATGGTCTGGCAACTCAGCCACCCCACATAGGGACTCGAGGCACGAGCGCCAAAGCCGCCATTAAAGGGTCGACGTTCTTTTGGTTCACACCGTCGTCTTGGTTCCTCGCTGGTTTCCGATACCACCATTGTTTGGACTCGAAGCGTGTGATTGGCTCCGAGTTCACGCCGAACGCTGACGCCAGCCCTCATGTCCAATGCGAGCTCTCTGTATGTGAGCAAGCAATTGCGGTCAAGCGTTGGCGCGGACTTTCGAAAAAGGTGCGCTGTGAAGTCGGTAACATGTCCAACCGACTCGCACAAGCTGCAGTTTGAACACCGAGGTTGTGCGGCTCGCACGCTCGCGGCGCCGACCTTCCACAACTCCGGACCGGGGACAGCAGAGAACCCCAGCTACGCAGACGATGGCTACGCCAGTTAAAGAGAACACATGCATGACCCAGGCAGCAGAATACAAGGTCACGACACCGGACGGCGACCCAGCCATGCCACTAGGACCGCCACATAACGGACCCGCTGCTAGCGACGAGAGATCTATTGGCGCCGTGCCAGCAACGCAAGTACTGCAATTGTAAGAAAAGCGAGGGACGTATTCGACTTCGGCGAATGGCATTCCTGCTCAAACTGTAAACCTGGAGCAAATCAACACCCAGGGCAGCAACGTCATTGTACACAGAGTAAGCGACACTTACTTAAAAATTTGCCTCGAGAACAAAGACGCCATCTCAAACTTCATCGCAATGAAAGAAGACTTCGAGTACTTTATCCGAATCAAAGAAGAACTGCAGTGTATGATGAAAAAATTCCGTGAAACGGATTGGGAATCCTTCGAAGCTTTCACAGTAGAACAGAACCGCAAGAGAAAGCAACCTCGTGGAGCAAGCGCGACGAGAGAAGCAGTAGACGAACCGAAAGCCACCTCTTCAGAGGAAATTGAGATGGTAGAGGACCATCAGACCGCGGATGATTTGGCAGATTTCAAAGTGGTAACATACAAAAAGCCGAAGGCTAAACAACCAAAGACCGCCACCAATGTGTCAGTACAAGAAACCTCAACTAACAAAAGTTCGAATGGAAAAAAAGGCAAGTCAACGACTTCTGCCGCCGTCAATAAAATGCCGGTAGAAGAATCCCAGGAAGTGGACAAGCGCTCAGCAGGAAGAGAATCAGCGCCACTCGCAGCTGGAGGCCAACCAAAGATGCAGGCGGTAGTTTTCCGCCCAACTTGCAAAAGGAACGTTATGGAATTCACTCCTAGGCAAATCAAATCCGCCGCTGCAGAAGCGGGAGTTAAACATCTTGAAAATTTTTCGCTCAAGTACAACCAAAAAGCGAACACGATAGCTGCACTTACGAAAGACACAACCACCGCAGACGAGCTCACCCAATTCAAGAAAATTTACACCTCTGACGGAGCTATGGAATTCCAAGCAGTAAGAGCACAGAATCCCAACCAATGCAAGGGCATTGTATACTTCAAGAACATCCCAGAAGAAACAGACGAAACACTTTTGGAGGAAGTGTCCTGCCGAACACACAACATTGTCCAAGCCCATATCTTTGGCCCGAAGAGATCCACAGTCTTGCTTACGTTTGAGGGAACGACAAGGCCGCGCTACGTGCGCTTCTGCAATTTTACATACAAGGTGCACGAATACAGGCCTAAACCACTTATATGCTTCAACTGCCACCGATTTGGACACCGTGCAGACATTTGCCCCAGCGAAAACAGCTATTGTGGCAAATGCGGACACGAGCACGACGAAAGCAACGAGTGCACCCAGCCACCTAAATGCAGGAACTGCGGAGGCAAACATCCAGCTACAGATAGGAACTGTCCCAAGCGAACTATCCCACCCTCTTCAGACAAGAACGCCCCACCGAAGACAAAAAGCCGCCCCCGACTACAGAGGACATTGAAGCCTGGCCGGAGCTTCCCCAGAAGCAAGAGAAGAATGGCCAACAAACAACAGGAGAGACTCGCTCTCGGGCCGACACGGCAGGGGGTAACCACCAAGGAGGGTTCATCTTGGAGCAGCCGATCGCTGTAGGTCTTCATACGGCAATGGAAGCACGATTCCAAGCGCAAGATGCGCGCCTGGGCAAACTGGAAGCCATAATAGAAAAACTCTGTGCAACGGTCAACACTCTAGTCCGCGCCCATAATGGAGGACACTGAACAGGGACAAGGCACTCAGAAGATGACTGAAAACCCCCCATGGATTTTACAATGGAACTGCAGGGGCATGCGAAACAAGATGGCAGAACTAAAACTGAAACTCGAGCGTATGCAACAGAACACGCCGATAGTCATCATCTTGCAAGAAGTGGACATGATCCAACCCAAGATCACCGGTTATAAAACATATCAACTCCCCACTATCATATACAAGAAGAAAAGGTTGGGCCTCGGTCAACCATGCGGAGCGACAGCCACGTTTGTCAGAGAGGACGTGGCTCAGACTGCACTTGACACCTCGCACATCT